GGGCGCACCCGGCCCCCCGCCCTGCCCTGCCGGGACAAAGGCCGAGTGTTAGCTCCGGGCCGGGTACACAATGGCCCGAACTCTTCCCGACGGCTGGGGGCTCGCGCCGGCTTGCCTCCCCCCGGCTCGGCGTCGGTTGGGTTTCTCGGCAGGAGAGGTCTGGCCTACCTTCCAGTCTCGGAGGTGACAGCAGGAGGTCCCCGTTGGACATCTGCCAGCCTTGGGTGCTTTTTTCTCGGCGCACATATGGTTTACTTCAGTGTTCATGTGGTACTTACTGTACGTTGGGCACCAATCCACAGGCGGATGATTTACCTGCCCTTCCGAACAGCCTGGGCCCAAAGGACCGAGCCACCTGGCGGAGTCACGCAGCACAGCACGCTGGAAGTCCGCCGCTGCTGTCTGCCCTGCGCCCGCGGTGGTGCCGGGCAGGTGGGGGTCCAGCCTTAGAATCCGAGTTCCTGAGCATCTCAGGCAGTGAGATTTTAGGAGGTGACGGAAGTTGCGAGGCCAGGGGCTTTTGGAGGGGCCCAAATGAAGCCCAGGCCCTGCCTGGCCCGGTGGGGACAGCTTCGGGAGCAGAGCAAAGGGCCTGGGCCCAGGCTCCCTGAGCCCAGCAGTTCTTTACAGTGGGGCATCAGAATTTAGCCCGGAAGGTGCCAGGCAGGGGGCTAGGTGGCATCTGGGGACCAGTATGAGATCATGCCCCCACCGTGGGAGGGTGGGGCTGAGGGGAGGTCCCTGACCTGCACCCTGGTCACCTCTGGCCTCTGCCTTGCCCCAGACCCCAGCTGGTCATGCAAGGCCGCCTTGGCCTGCGTGCTGCCTGTCCCCCTGCCCGTGCTCTCCCAGCCGCCTGCCTTCTCTTCCAGCACCTTCTCTTCTCCCCGCCCTCCCTCCACTGAGCTCCTCCGTGCCTTCCCTCGTCCTGCCCATTGCTGCAGCCCAAGGCCTGGCTCTGCCCAGCCACCCTCCCTCCCATTCCCCTGATTCCCTGCCCCCTGCTCTGTGACCCTGGAGCAGGTCCCCAGGCTATGCCCTCGAGGAGGCTCTGTGGATGTCATCGCCTCCTGTGCTCTGCAGTGAGCTCCCACCTGCCGGCCACCCTCGCCAAGAGGACCTGGGACTCCTGGTGACAGTGACACTAATTCACAGTTGGACCATGGTGTCACTGGAGAGGGGCGGTCTGTCCCAGGGCGTGGGACGGAGCAGCTGCAGTGTGGCGCAGGGCCTGGCGTGGAAGTGACTAAAGGGACACATGCTTGGTGGGCCCTCTTCTGGGTGCTGCTGAACCCCAGGGCCCTGCACATGCACCTTATCTTAGTACTGCCTGCCTCAGCCAGGTCCTGCACAGGTCCGAGGGTGCACCTCAGTTCCTCTGCTCGTACACATGTGATAGGAGACATCGGTCAGGTGTCACACATAGCAACTAATTCCATGGGTGATGGGAGATGTGAAGAGTGGAAGTTTCTCCCTGTGACAGTGACCTCAGGGGTAGGCAGTCAGGAGATGGAGAGGAAGTCATTGTGTGTGTTGGGCAGAGCAGTCATGTGCAAAGGCCCTGGGGTCCAGGCCTGTGGTTCTGCTCTAGAGCTGAGAGGAGGCTTGGGGTGCTGTCCAGGCAGAGTATGGAGGCTGGTGGTGCTGCTCCAGGGGCTCAGGGTGGAGTCTGATTGATCTATGGTGTTGGGGAGACTGGATGGGGTTTTCAGGGCACAGTGGCCTCCCATTTGCCTGCAGAAAAGCTCTGATGGGGGCGGCACAGATGCACAGTGAGGCAGAGGCTGACCTGCGGGTGGCACGTGTTTGAGTGTCAAGGCACAGCCGCCGATCCTTCCCTGGCTTCTGCCGCAGCTGCTCTGCCCTTCGCCATCCTGACCCTGGTGAACACCCCATACAAGCGAGGCTTTTACTGTGGGGATGACTCCATCCGCTACCCCTACCGCCCAGACACCATCACCCACGGGCTCATGGCCGGCGTCACCATTACGGCCACCGTCATCCTTGTAAGGCGGGAAGGAGTGGGACAGGAGTGTGTCCTGAGGGAAGGGAGGAGATGGGTGGGGGGCTGCCCTGTCGTGGGAGCTGGGGGAGCCCCCGCTGCCGGGCCCCTCACCTGTGGGCCTGGCAGGTCTCGGCCGGGGAAGCCTACCTCGTCTACACAGACCGCCTCTACTCTCACTCGGACTTCAACAACTACGTAGCCGCCGTCTACAAGGTGCTGGGGACCTTCCTGTTCGGGGCGGCCGTGAGCCAGTCGCTGACCGACCTGGCCAAGTACATGATCGGCCGCCTGCGCCCCAGCTTTCTGGCTGTCTGTGACCCCGACTGGAGCCGGGTCAACTGCTCAGTCTATGTGCAGCTGGACGTGTGCAGGGGCAGCCTTGCCAATGTCACTGAGGCCAGGTGGGCGCAGGGCCGCAGCCCCACCCCTGTGGGGGGACGGGCTGGAGCCAGAGTGTGGGGAGAGCACACGGCAGGGGTGGTGGGCTCTGCTGGCCCCTGTGCCCCCTCCTCCCGTCACCTGCTGACCCGTGACCCGCCGTCCGCAGGCTGTCCTTCTACTCCGGACACTCCTCCTTCGGGATGTACTGCATGATGTTCTTGGCGGTGAGTGTCTGGTGTGGCGCTTGTTGGGGAACCTGGACAGGTTACGCCACTTCTCTGGCCTCGGTCTCCCCAGCTGTACCCCGGGAGTCCGGTAGGGCTGGGTGGGTTCGCTGGTTTGTGCAGATGGATGGACGGACGGACGGAGGCCCTTCCGGGCTGACGCCCTGCCCACCTCAGCTCTACGTGCAGGCCCGGCTCTGCTGGAAGTGGGCACGGCTGCTGCGGCCCACGGTCCAGTTCTTCTTGGTGTCCTTTGCCTTCTACGTGGGCTACACCCGCGTGTCTGACTACAAACACCACTGGAGTGATGTCTTCGTCGGCCTCCTGCAGGGGGCGCTAGTAGCCAGCCTCACTGTGAGCCCCTGGACCGCCCCACCCTGCCCAGAAAGCCCCGCGGGATCTGACACTTCTGGGGGTGGGGGCCTGTCCCAGGCTCATGGCTCTCAGTCCGGCCTCCAGTCCCCTCCGCTCTTCTCCCTGTCTTGCTGCCCACCGTAACCATCTGCCCACCACCCTTTTCTCCCTCAGGTCCGGTACGTCTCAGACTTCTTCAAAGCGCGGCCCCCGCGGCCCTGCCAGGAGGAGGAGGGGGAGGGCGAGGTGGCCCGCAAACCCAGCCTGTCGCTGACACTGACCCTCGCCGAGGCTGAGCACAACCACTATGGGTACCCGGTGTCGTCCTCCTGAGCTGGGGCCTCAGGCCGTTGTGCATTGTCCCTCTGCCCTTGAGGTGGGCAGTGCGGGCTGTGGATGGGCCCTGGGCCCTGCGACAGACAGTATTGGCCAGCGGAGGCCCCTGCCCCACTCACTGTGGGCTGGTCCATGCCTGGCCAGCCCTCCTGCTGCTGTGGGGTTGAGGGGCCCTGGGAACGGAGCGAGCGCTTCTGCAGGGCATGATGTGCCTGTAGGTTCCTGGTTAGTCCCAGAGTACCAGGGTCGGCCCGGGAGCCGCACACAAGGCCCTGCGGGTGATGGCCCGGGCTTGTGGAGTATGCAGGTGAGCATGGTCACCTTCAGGGCAGTGCAGCTTCACCGAGGGCTGTGGTGACCCCTGAGGCCCTGACCCTCCCACTGCTGCGGACTCGAGCACTTAGCATTGCCTCCGAAGCAGGAGCCGGCCAGGGGCTGGTGCCCGGCCACTGAGCCAGAACCTTCAAGGCTTACGTTGTCAATGGGTGGGTGAGCCATAAACTTAATTTTTTACCAAGTACCTCTTTGTTCTGAGTGATTGACTTTGAAGTGTCTACTGTTTTTGTTTCTGAACCTGAAACTGGCGTGCTTCTCTCTCTCTTTTCTTCTCTTTCCTTTCTTTTTTTGAGACAAAGTCTTGCTATGTACATTAAGTCCCCGACTTACATGCATGTTCCGTTCTGGGGGAACGTTCATGAGTTTGTTTCGCTCATAATCCGACAAAATGAGTCTTATAGAGTACACCTGTAAAAGTTTGCAGTTCAGGTGTTTGTAAGTCGAGGACTTATTGTAGTCCAGGCTGGCGGTGAACTGACTGTGTAGCTTAGGCTGGGCTGGAATTCTTAGAGATCCTCCTGCCTCAGCCTCCTGTGTGCCACCATGCCTGGCTGAACCTGCTTATTTACCCCTGTGGGTTTATGTGTCAGGTGTGAGCAGGCTGATGGAGCAGTTGGGGACACCCCAGGAGCCCTGCAGGGGGCTGAGGTCCTGGGGAAGACTGGGAAGAGGTGACTAGAGCACCACCACCATGCTGGACCCTGGGACTGTGTCCTTGTGGACTGTGTCAGGCTGGTTCCCGAGCAGGAAGCCTCTGGGAGGCTCTTGTGGCTAAGGAGTAGGGTCTCCCAGGAAGCAGCAGAAGGGTCCTCAGAGTCGCGAGTCACACACCAGCACTTCCCATACCAACATGCTGTGGTGGCGGGTGGGGGTGTAGGGCAGAGTTACAAGAACCCAGATCCCACCATTAGGGTTATTCAGACGGCACCAACTGCCTTTCCAGCTACAGTAGTAAGAGACTTTTGTTTCCTTATTTCCATAGAAATTCCTCCTCATTAAATGCCTTGACTGTTGCTGGGTGTGGTACCACACACCTGTCATCCCAGCACTCAGGAGGCTGAGGCAGGAGGATCACTGTGAATTCAAGGTCAGCCTGAACTACATAGGGAGACCCTGTCTCCAAAACAAAAAATGCCTAACTGCTGGCACCATGCAGCAAACACCCTGTACTACCAAGTCTCAGCAGATGACTCAGCTGGTCCCTAGTCAAAGGTGACCTGAGTGAGAAAGGACCTTTATTACACAAAGAGAAGAGAACATCACCTCTTGTACTGAGCAAGAATGGGACCAGCAGAGAATTTCTGCTTGGCCAAACTTCTGATGCCCTGGAGTGCTCTCCCGGGCCTGCAATCAAGTTGCGGAAAGCCCTGTGGAGTCAGCTTGGTGTGACTCCACAGCCCTACCCATGTCTGATCATCCTGGATTCTCATCAGTCCCTCGGCTCCTGCGTCCCAGGGTGGTACCTGATTCCCCTTGCCAGTGAATAGCCAGATTACCCATTAGGTTGGTTTAGCCAGCACTGCCCTCACCCTGAGGTTCCTGCTTAGTCATTTTCTATCACCCAGTTGCCCACCTCCCTTTGCCATACATTTTTGTTTTCTAGACAGGGTCTCATTATGCAGCCCATGTTGGCCTCAAACTTGTGATTCTCCTGCCTCAGCCTCCTGAGTGCTGGGATGACAGACATGTGCCATTGCGCCTTTATTCCCACTCACCCAGGCTGTATCTGGAGTTGACCCCAGTCTCTCCTGCTTAATGACCCCACTGCAGTCAGTGGTCTCTGTACTATACTTTCATGAATCAGCTGGTGAACTTTCTCTGACACTGCATGACAGGGTATAACTGAGGAAGCTGGGAGAGAAGGTGGGGCCCTTCCTGCAGGCTGCAGAGAAGCCTGTAGGGACCCACTGACACCTTGGTTTCCCAATTCCAGCCTCCAGAGCTGAGAGTAAGTTTCCCTTTCATGGCCTGCAGTTTGTAGTCCTTTATTATGGCAGCTCAGGAAATGAATGAGCCCAGGATTGTCTTCACTAAAGCTGTGTTTTGTTGAGCTGGGCATGGTGGTACGTGCTTGGTAGGCCAGTACTTGCAGGCTGAGGCTGGAGGATTGCCGCAAATTGGAGGCCAGCGGGGGTTACACAGAGACCCTGTCTCAAGTGGCGTGGGTGGGGGGAGTCCTTTGTTTCTCTCCATCCACCTTGCTAATCGCTAATACTAAGTTTGAAGGTGAGGAATCACGGGGAAATTTGGACTTTGGTCAGGGGAAGAGGCCAAGGAAAGGGCTTGGTGTTTGGTGGGCAGGTTCGGCTTAGACAAGTGCACGGTATGCAGCCAGGTGAGCAACCAGCTCAACCGCACAGCCTGGGGCCTCCTGACCGTCAGCGTCATCGTCCTGCCCTGGGGACGTTTCTATCTGCAGATCTGAGGCCACAGGCTGCGCAGCTCCTCTGAGACACCGAACATCTGGGACGTCTGCCCCCTCTATGCCCGCTCTCTGCACCTCCTGCTCAACTTGGTCCTGTTTCTGCTGGGTGGGTAAAGGGCACAGGAAGGGGAGGGTCACCTCTACTGCCGCCCCTCAGCCTACAGGAATGGCCCCTCTGCCCTCTCTGGGCTGGGCTGTGTCTTGACAGAGGACTTTGGGTTTTACTAAGACATTTGCCATCACTTTAATTCGTAATCTTTTTGAAAAAGGAAGAGCTGAGTGTGGTGGTACACACCTGTCATCCCAGCACTCAGGAGGCTGAGTCAGGAGGATCCAGCAAATTTGAGGCCAGCTTGGGCTACATAGTGAGTTTCTGGACCAGTGAGGACTACATTAGGGAGACTGCATTTTACATTCTGTTTCTCCATAGGAAAATGATCTGGGATTCCTTGGAGGAAAAGAATAAATTCCTTTCCCCAAGTGGACACGCACTCAGACATGCACACCCCAACCCTCCCACACCAACAGATACACATAGCCATGATACTCGCGTGCACGCCTGGCCATGTGCACAGATGCACACATCCCCCTCTGGCTTTCATCTCGGTGGCCACAGGGTGGAGGAAACCAGTAAAGGAGTCAAGGAGAGCCGGGGAGGGGCGTGTGGCAGAGGGGACAGAAGCAGCCCGCTTACAAGGTGGTCAGGGAGTCCATCCCTTCCCAAACCCAGCACGGTCTCAAGTCCTAGATTTTTCTCTCTGGGCCACAGAATTAACGTTATTTTATTTCATTTTATTATTTTATTTTATTTGGAGGTGGGGTCTTGCTGTGTAGTTCAGGGTGGCCTTGAATTCACTGTGTAGCCCAGGCTGGCCTGAAACCCTTGGAAATCCTCCTGCCTCAGCCTCCTGAGTGCTGTGATGATAGGCGTGCTCCACCACGCTGGTGAGATTGATATTTTGTGGGGAGCAATTTGTTAGTACAACAGGTCAAAAATTGAGGACATCTGTATGGGAGCCATGAGTGACATATGTAAGGATTCCCTTCTCTTCCTGCCTCATCTCTGTCTTGGAGGGGAGGCTTTGTCTAGTGGTTATTTCTGGCCTCTGCTTTTGGGGAGGAAGTATCTTCCTCTGCAGACCGCTCAGGCTGGGCATGGAGGTGTGCAGCACATTTGCCCAGGGCCTGCTGGGCTGTGGTTTTATCACGAGTGACTTTCCCTTCCTGCAAACAGAAAGACCAGGCTGACTCAAGTCCACGCCTGCCGAGGCCGCAGGGCTGCTCCTCTGTGTGCAGCCTCGCCTCGCCCCAGACACAGGCCTCTCCCCTGTGCAGCTCCAGTTGCTTTCTGCATGGAGAAACTGGAAACTCTTATGACTCATTGTTACCTTTGCTTTACTGCCTAAGCAAATGGCCAGCTGGGCGTGGCGGTGCAAGCCTGTAATTCCAGCACTCAGGAGGCTGAGGCAGGAGGTTTTACTGTGAGTTCAAGGCCAACGTGAGCTACATAGCGTGACCTGGTCTCAAAAAAACGAAAAAGGAACTGGCCAATTGAACGTGCGAACTCTGGGGCAGTCTGCACTGAGCCTATCTCACTTCCTTCACATCTTCTCCGTTGGTGCCCAAGTCCTGTCCCATGGTGCAGGGTCTTGGTGCTATGTCACCCTCAGGGGCCTGCCTATGCGCCTGGGCAGTTCACAGGCACCTTGCAGCAGGAGTGTGAGGTAGGGGATTAGGCCTGTGGCAAACTGGACAACTAGGGCAGTGGAATACGGGAAAGGTCATAAAAACCCACAGCTAAGAGGTTGAGCAAGATACTTCCTAAAAAGAGAGCACACGCACAGAACACAGGGCCCTCAATGACTCCACAACTACTGAACACTGCGAACCCATCAGAAAAGTGCTATTTTCAGTCCTTCATTTGCATCTGGCACTGTTTGCAGGACCAATCAGAGATGCTTTTTCAGTCATTCATTTGCATCTAACACTTCACAGGTCCAATCAGAGATACCGTTTTTAATTCCTCATTTGCATCTGGCAGGCAGCCTTGAGAGTCTTTCCACGGTGCGGTTTAAAGCTGGCATGAGGCCAAGTGAGTTTTTAACAGGACAAATGTCCCAAAACCTTGACTGCAGGATAGAAAAGCCAACCTGGGAATTTTGGTTACAATTTTGCTGTGAGCCTTTCTGCTGGCCTGGTCTTGCCCTGTGGAGCACACCTCTTCTCCACCGTCAGTAACTGCATACCTTTGCGTTTTTCTGGGTGTCTTGTCCATTTCTTCGGGACACCAACAACCTGAAAGAAGGCCCATGGGATCCTGCATCTGGTAACAAGTGGAGCTTGCATCTCCCTCTTTTATTTATTTATTTATTTATTTATTTATTTATTGAGACAGGGTCTCACTATGTAGGTCAGGCTGGCCTTGAGCTCACTATATAGCCCAGGCTGGTCTCAAACTCAAGGTGATCCTCCTGCCTCAGCCTCCTGAGTGCTGGATGACAGGTGTATGTCATCATGCCCAGCTGGTCAATTTCTTTGTGAAAGGGTTTGGAATGAGCTTTTAGAAGCCGAGAGTCCCACAGTTCTCAGAGGGTCCCTGTGTACCTAAGAAGCCCCTAATAATTGTTCATGAGCGGGGAAACCCCGTTCATATGTTTTACATGTGCCTATTTTTCTCTATTAGGGTTAGAGTTAGGGTTAGGCCTAGGTTAGTGTCTTTTCTTCTTGCTGAGACAAAATACCTGACACTCACAAGTTAA